TGTGTGTGTGTGTTTGAGTGTGTGTGTGTTTGAGTCTGTGTGTGAGTGAGTGTGTGTGTGTGTGTGTGTGTGTGAATGTGTGTGTGTGTTGTGGCAACAGTCTCTAGTCTGTTTATAAAGCTCCATCAGACAATGAGGGCTCAAAACAATTAGAAAACGGTTGTTGAAAATAGTTTATTAAAATGATTCAGTAGAAAACCATATAATTTATCCAAATATATGTTTTCTTCCCTTTGTCAACAATCTCAGAGCATCAGGGCTTGTGACTGAACTGATGTGATCTGGGTTCAGTCGGTTTGAGCCAGCGTCAGTCTAACACACACGTGTTCACTGTACAGAGAATCACGCCACGCTCCGTATCTCTACATCTCTGATTACATGTCTGTTCGGCTGGCTGAGATCAACTCGTAGTGTTTAAATGCATAAGTTATATATCAATTATATAAAAAGAATTAATACACTGAATTTTATACTTCAATCTAACAAACGCACAGCGTTTGCGACTCGGATCATAGTCATAATAATTAATAATAATACAAATACTGGTATCTTTGTGGCTATTGCTACAGATATACCCCAGCGACTTAACACTGCTTTTGTGCTGCAGGGTCACATATAGACCAGTAAGTACTTGCTCATGCAGCGGCTCATTAACAGCCCCGTTTACACTTTCACATTCCCGCTAAACTCCTGGATCTGCGAGCGGATCGCAGATGTTTTCTCCGGCGGCGGCGCACGGTTTGCTCTCTCCAGTCTGGTGTGTTCTTGAGATGTTTGAGATGTCTAGTAGTAGGAGCCCAGATGCGAGGGCATGTGCGCGGCGGGGTGTCGCGGTCCGCTGTAGATTCCCGCCGCCGCCGGAGCGTTCCAGTACGGACCCGGGCCGCCGAAGAAGCCGGACGAGGCGACGTTCATGGCCTGAGTGTGTGGAGACACGAAGCTCATCTTCTGCGGGTGCGGGTACGTGCTCATGTAGGACAGCTCAGCGGGGTACTTGTAGATGGAGGAGTCGGGCGGATGCGGCTGCAGGGCCTGCGCGATGCCGTGGAAGTCGAACTTGTAGGCGTAGCGCTTGCCGTGCACTTTGGTCATGATGTTCTTGTCGTAGTAGTAGCGCATGGCTCGGCTCATCTTGTCGTAGTTCATGTTGGGCTTGCTCTTCCTCTCGCCCCAGCGCCGCGCCACCTCGTCCGGATCCGTCATCTTGAACTCGCCGTTGGTTCCTTCCCACGTGATGCAGGACGAGTTGGAGCTGTTGGAGAGAAGCTCCAGGAGGAACTGCCACAGCTGGATCTGACCCGAACCTGAAACACACAATCATCTAGATCAGTGTTTCTCAACCATATTTGTCTTATTTAACATATTTAATTATTGCAGGTTTGTATAATATTCTGAGTTTGCATTTGACTGTTTTTATTGATTGTGAGGAACACTGAATGTGTTTGTGTGCAGTGAGATGAGTAAACACATGTTGATATTGAGTCTAGAACTACAGTAAGATCATGTTCACACACAACGCTCTGCACTTACTCCTGATTTCTGTCACCATGGCAACACCAGAGCTGTCACTCAGTACATGGAAACAAAGTAACTGGCGTTACTTATTTGAAAAAATAACTCAGATGTTTCCTTCTGAGGAACTGCCACAGCTGGATCTGACCCGAACCTGAAACACACACACACACACACACACACACACCTCAACTATATTACCACTAGGGTTGTCCATTCAGGGCCAGATTTACTAAACAGGGAAAATTAGCGTTAGAGCGCAGTTCCATAAAAGCGCAGATGGGAGGGAAAATTCTGCGGGTGATTTACTAACAATGCGCACACACTGCAAAAAAAAATTTTCTTAGTATTTTTGTCTTGTTTTCTATCTAAACATTCTTGAATCAAGATGCATTTACTTGACAAGTATAATGATTTAAGATATTAAGTCTTGTTTTCTAAAAAGGTTTAGGTTTTCCTTAAAACAAGCAAAAATATCTGCCAATGGGGTAAGAAAAATAATCTTAATTCAAAGGCTAAACAAGATTATTTTCCTTGCCACATTGGCAGATATTTTTGCTTGTTTTAATTAAAAACTAAATTTTTTTTTACAGAAAACAAGACATAATATCTTAAGTCATTTTACTTGTACAGTAAATTCATCTTGATTTAAGAATTTTTAGATATTTATACTAGAAAACAAGACAAAAATACTAAGAGAATAATTTTTTGCAGTACATTAAAGAACGCAGCAGATAATTTCCATAATGACCAGTGCAATCTATCGAGAGCAAACTACCACCTGCTTTAAGACAAGCTTTTTTGGGGCATTAAATAATGGCGCAAATACCAATAATTTGACAAGTGCAAACGTTAGTAAATCGCGTTGCATGATTCATTTTAATACTCTCCTCCCATAAATTTTGCGTCTGAAAGGGAAACTCCTACCAATGCATATTCAAAAATGTCAAGTGCAAAAATAACTGCGTCCACGCCTTTTCAGTTCTAATTCTTCACTGCGCGTCTTTAGTAAAACCTGACAGTAGTCTTTTAACGCCAAATGATGAAAAATAGCCTTTGGCTAATTCTGGTACATTTACAGGAATGTTTTATTAATGTACAATGTCCCTGTCAACTAAATAAATAAAATAAAATTTAAAAAAAGATAGTTTGCACTGCCGCTTTATACAAAACAGATTGTGTCAAAGCAGCTTTACAGTGTCAGGAAAATAGTTTGTCAATAAAAAAGAGTGCATGACTGGAAACGTGACATTGATTTATACAACTGTTTAGTAAACAAGAAGTTAATATTGTGTTATATTTTAGACACATTTTTGTCAACATTGTCTGTTTTTGGTCATTTTGCAAATCAAAGCCACAGCAGAACATCTCTGATCAACACACAGCAGTGATTCATTACTGAATGAATCCATGTTTTGAATGAAATGAGTGAGTCAGTGCTTCAGTGACTCGTTCATAAAGAGTCACTTGCTTCATTGCTTCATTTCAGCCATTTGGACAAATCAGTTGAATGAATGATTCAATGACTTACTCATTAAAACCGCCACCTACTGGCACTTTTAGTTTCATATTTATAGTATCTTTTCATTTAAAAAAAAAACATTTTATATTTCAATATTAAATTTTTTCTGTTGAATCAATACATTTCTTTCTAAACCTAATTCTTTGTAATGTCTATTCAGTGCTTTTCTCATTTAACACATTAATGAATAAATTATCTTTTGGGGGGTAATTTCTCAGCCCAAACTGATGTGTGATTAAGTAATTGGCACATCATGTAATTAACTAGATTTAAAAAAATTTAACATCTTGGCAGCCCTATTTATCAAACAGCTGTTTATATAAATTTGGATATGTAAGTATATCCAAATTTATTTGCATACATACAGTACGTAAAACAATATATACTATATAGTGTATCTCACCTGCTTGATTGTTTATATTGTAACAAAATGTAACTATTATTGTCCAGCTCTAATCTGATAATTGCAACTATAATGCATGAAGGTATTAAGATATTATAAATATTAACATCATAAGTTTTTGTAATGATGCTTTAAAACAATGCGTGAAAAGCACTTAACAAATACATTTACATTTGACTCACCTGGATTCGCCAGTCTGCTGCTTGTCGGCCCTAAAATCTGATACAGATCTAAGAAGAAGATGACAAACAAACATGAGAGACCATCCTAGTGATGCACTTCAGCTGATGTATGCTTTATTTGATTAAAATAAAGTAGTGCTGTCAAACGATTAATCACGATTAAGTACAAACACATATTATGTAAACAAAAACTTTTATTTTGGATACGATTAATCGCGATTAATTGTACTGCGATCGCAAAGAACGTCTCGGTTACGTATGTAACCCTCGTTCCCTGAAGGCACCAATCGACGAACAGGTTCCACTTCAGCGCGTAGGCGTGCCTCGTAGAGGGTGCTCTAGCTGAAGTGATGGTGTTAACTACCGCTGGGGGCAGATCACCTAGAACCTCCGCGTCCCGTCCAGAGACCACACGTGGAGATTCCACAGGTCCGGGCGCGGGTGCCAGAGGGTGCCCCCTCTCTGAGAAAGGAGATCCTTCCTCAGAGGAATAAGTCAAGGAGGGGAGCATTAGTTCTGGGAACCAAGTCCGACTGGGCCAGTACGGCGCTACTAAGAGGACATGCTCCTCGTCCTCCCTGACCTTGCACAGGGTCTGTGCGAGAAGGCTCACTGGGGGAAACGCATACTTGCGTAGGCCCCGAGGCCAGCTGTGTGCCAGCGCGTCCGTGCCGAGGGTCCCCTCGGCCAGGGAGTAAAACAGCTGGCAGTGGGAGGTGTCCGGGGAGGCAAACAGGTCTACCTGAGCATCTCCGAAGCATCAGCTGGACTGTCTCGGGGTGGAGTCGCCATTCT